TTTTCAGTGAAGAAGCAAGTTCTAGAACGCTGGTAGCTGCCAGTTGGACAAACTCAATAGTCTCAAAGTAGGATCTAAAGACAGCAGCCTCAGGCTACCTGAGGACTTGCTGGAAATGCACGTTCTCAGGTCCCACGCAGACTGCCCCTTCTCTGGTGGGACCCAGCTTTTGTCAACAGCATCCTGGTTATTCCTGCCGACAGGCATTCATCAAAGGACGACTCCACCTGTCACGAGGTGAACGGGCCTGACAGTCACCTGTTATAGACTGAAGTCCCAGGTAATTTCACAGGCGCCCTGGGGAGGTGGGCTTAATATCCCTGCTTTGCAGTGATGAGATGGATTCCTGTGACAGCCGTGCGCCTATACATGGCCTGAAGGATTCATGTTCAATTCCAAGGACCCTCTTCTATGTTATCTGGCCCTAGCTCAGGGCCTCTCAGCCCCCAGGCTAGAACACACAGGCAGAACTGACAAGGCTGAGGCGAGCAGCGGGCGGATCAGGGGCAAGATGGCCTGGGTGGCACTCTCTGCCTGGTGTCCGCCTCTGCTTCGCTCTGGTCCTCCCCATGCTTCCTTCTGCTTTCTCCCTGGCAGTGGCTTCAGTCCCTGGAGTGAAGGAGTTTTTCAGCCTCAGTGTTCCAGGTCTTGCAAAAATTGCCAGGGTCCGGCGTCCAATCTTCTGTGGCACAAAGCCAGGGGGTCATGTGGAGTCAACAGGGCAGCCATAATCACCCATGCTCGCTATGGGTGGAAGGAGGAGGGCGAGGAGGTAGGGGAGGAGGAGGCTGAAGGAGGACAGGAGGTGAGGCGGGAAGTGAAATGTGAGCTTTGCTACCTCAGCTTTGCCTTCTCACCTCAGCTGTGACCTCAAGAAGCCCCAGGTACCCACAAACAGTCCCTCCCCTGCACTAGCAGCCCCCAAGTGCTCCCAGGACAGTGTAAACGGTCTCCCCAGCGGGCTTCTCACACTGGCTGTGTCCTCTCTGAGAGTCCTTGCTGTGGCCTCTTAGGCTACTCCCCTGGAACTAGGACCCAGAGTCTCAGATTAGTAGACATCGTGGTCCAGTATTTTGCAAAGTGTGTTCCATGAACACTTACTTTCACTTGACCTTCCTAAAAAAGAGTTTTCCTGGTCTCGTGAGTTTGAGAAAGTTCCCAGTAGGAGGCCTCCTCTTGGAGAACCCTAAAGCCCAGCTGCTCCCTGAAGTTTCTGCCCGAGGAAAGGAATGAGTTCCCCTCAGAGCCCTCCCTCGCTATCCTCTCCTGCCTCCCTTCTCATCCTCCCTCCCTTTCTTCCTTCTTTTATGTAAAACCAGGGGGCTCACAGCTGTGGTGTTCAGGGGGAATCTATCTTGGGAAATGTGGGTCCCCTGGACCCTTTCTTCTGGTTAATGGACAGGGAGATGAGAGTGGTCATGGGGTGGGGGCTGACCGCACATGACAGGAAAACAGGCTTGAGAGCGGGACTTTCACGCAGCCTCTGTGGAAATCTAGAAGTAGGAGGACTGGTGCTGGACTGGCTGGAAGGCTCCTCACTGGAGACAGGGAGGGCCGGAGAGGCAGGGCTGGGGGTGGGGGACAGGAACCAGTGACCTGCATGGTTGGTGTCTCCTGTTGCCTCACCTGGAGCACCAGCGGAAGCACCCTGGGAGGAGCTGGTGCCGGGGTTTTCTGTTCAGTGAAACTCCATGTGGACTCCAGTAGCTGCCCTTGGGCCTCCCCACAGGCGGCCAAAGGACCGCACCTGTGTGTGTGGGGGGGAGGTCCAGACCCCCTCTCATTTCCAAGGACAGGTGCTGGAGAATGGCATTGCCGCGGCTGATCCCCTTGTTCCCAGGCTGTCTTGCCCTCTTGAAGAACACGTATGTCCACTCTGGTCACGGCTATGGCCTGGGCCCTGCCCATGAGCTGTGATGACCCTGATGCCTGCTCTCTGGCCTGAGCCCCTAACCTGGGTGTGCGGTTAGGATTTGGCAGAGGTTTGGTCAGGAGCCCGCTGCCAGTGGCACAGTAGAGGCACCATAATGCCACAGTCCTGAAGCTTCACTAGTTGCCCCCTGCCCGTGTGCACCTCCTCTTCGGCCTCACATCTCATGCTTCTCATAGTCTTTATTCCCGGTTGCCATCTCCAACATTTTTGTGACTCTTTCCTGCACAAGTTTAACCCTCCCCTCTTCACACAAACCAGCTTCCCAAGCCACATAGCAATGTCTAGCCTCGCCAGAGAGTTTGCAGTGAAGCGCCTCTAGGGACTTGGGTGTTTCATCCTCAACCATATTCTTTTTTTTTAAAAAAGATTTATTTATTTATGCATACAAGAACTGGGGTGCAGGCCAGAGGTGTGTGTGTAAGAGGTTTCACCAGAGACAGAGTGGGGAACAGAACAAGAGGCCTTAGTGAAATCCACTGCTGAGGGGAGCAGCAGAGAGACAGGAGAGGTCTGCTGTGTCCTGTGGGTCAGCTCCTTGGCAGGGGATCAAACTCGTTCTGCAATGGTTGCAGGTAATGTCATAGTGCTGCACTTTAACCCTTTGCACCACCAGAGAGACCCCTCCCACCATATTCTTGGCAATTCACCCATCCTCTTATTGATGGGTGATCCTGAACTCCCAGGGTGGAGGTGGGACTGAGACGGTTCCTCTCATTCTGTGCAGAGCACCTCCTATGGGTGGTGCTGGGTACTGCACCTAGAGTTGCAATTTGGGTAAGACCTCTTGTCCTGTCTCCCCAAGAAGCCCAGAGGTGGGGAGGGAAATTTAGCTCCAACATGAAAGGTGAGAGGAAGGAGATGTTGATTACTAAAAGCGTGGTCCGTGCTCAGGGTGAAGGTCAAGGAGAATTTCCTCTAGGAAGTTGGCATTTGAAGGGGACCAGATCAGGTGGCTTAACTCCGGGAACAGCACGGGAATGGCTGGCCAGGGTGATGTGCTTTTTTCTTTCGAACCTCCCAGCTCCACGTCTGACAGATTTCACCTAACCAGCCTTGCTAAATCTCCAGCCCCATGAAACCCGTTTCTGTTATAATCTCTCTCTCTTATCTCTTCCTTGCCTTCCTTTCCCATTCTCCTCCCCAAAGGATGGGAAATCTTCAAAGAAAAAGATGTGTCACTGTAAGTATACAGCCCAAGAAATGGGCCAGATAAATTATTCAAACACATAAAAAGACAGCGAGTCGTGGGCGGGAAGCCTGCAGAGGCCGAATAGCCACCCCAGGTGGACAGTGGGCGGGTGGTCCCCGGGGAGCCCCCCTCAGATCCCTGCACAACCTAACGATGCACTCCTAAGCCCCCCTCTCTGGACTTTCACCCCAGGGCCAGGGTGTGTGTGTTCCAATGGCAGCAAAGTCCTAGGCGCCTGCTGGGCTGGGCTGGGCAGGCTGAAGGTGGTCGGGGCCTTTGTGTCTGGACATTTGGGATTTACTTCCCCCTAGACTCAAACTGGTAACTGCAGAGTTTTAGTTCTTGCTTTTATCTCTTTTTGAACTGTGAAAAGAAATTCCCAAGGGGAAGAGGGGATACTTTTTTCTCATGAAAGAAGAAAGCCATGACCAGTTTAAGGAAGTAACCAACTTGAGGAGAACTGTGAGAAAGAAGCTCTGGGTTTTGTTTTGATTCAGATGCACCCTGGCACTGGGGGTGGGGGTGACAGGGACAAACAGCACTCACCACATTTCAGTGTCCCTGGAGGGGCCTGCAGGGGGGGTCCCACTGATTCAGATGCTTGACACCCCCACCTCCCTGCTGACAGCCTCACCCTCCACTATGGCTTCACTTTGTTACTTTTCTACAGCGGGGGGACGGGGCTGTCTTTCTTTGCTGTTAGTGGTATTTGGGACCAGATCATTCTTTGTTTTCCAGGGCAGTGTTTTACATTGTAGGTGTTTAGCTGTTTAGCGGTGACCTGCTAGATGCTTCCAGAAAATGCCAAATGTTCACTGGGGGGCAGCTGGGGGTGGGCGCAAAACTGTCTCTATTGAGAACCATCATTACTGCTGCCTTCTAACTCATGAAGCTGCTTACACGATGCACGCATTCCATACGTGTGCTTCTCCCAGCTCCCAGGGGCTCGTGTGAGAACAGGACTTGTAGGTATTTATGTACTTTGTTCACCGATGTCTCTCAAGTGCCTGCAGTGGCGTCTACCACATAGCTGGTGCTTGATCAGTAACTGCCTCCTCATGAGGGACCCTCTGTCTAATGGTGGCATCTCAGGGCTGAGCTGTGATGGGACGGTCTGATGCAGTGAAAACAAGATGGGCAAGGAATCCCCTTGGCTTGGTGTTGATTCCTGACCAAGTCTCTAATAACTGTGAGACTGTGGCCAAGTGACTTTACCTGTCTGGGCCAGTAGTTTCCCTCCATGGAACAAGAGGGTGGTTGCGAGTGCTACGCATGACTTGGGACAAGATTGGCATATCACAGGTGCTAGAACTGCAATATAAAAAGGACAATAATAATACTGGGGAGAGGGCCCAGCTCTCTTCAGTGAAAACACACTGCTCTCAGCATGGATGTACCTGCTTGTAGGATTACCCTTTATTCCCACCAAAAACAGTGTGTAAGAAAGGGAGTGTTAGTGCATAATTGAGGGGGTAGCCAGGGATGCCCAAACTGTCTTGTTCTGAAGGGGTGCAGCCATCTGTGTGTGCAAAGGTGAGGCGGACTTGTAGTGTGGAAAAGCTTTAGTAGAATCAGCGTGTGGAGAGAGGGCAGGGAAGAAAGGATATTTTCTCCCATACATCACAAGTTACCTGTCCCCTTGTGGACAAGCACTCAACCAAGCAGGCTGGCACAAACAGGGCACTGAGGCCCGAAAGCTTATTGCAAGTCTAAGGCACCTCCCTGACAGGGAACCACTGCAAAGGGGTTCAGAAACAGGTCCCAGAAGTTGAGGCAAAAGGGACCCCGCCTCAGGATAAGAGAGCAGGGTAAGCCTCCCCACAGTCACCGGCAGTCTTTCATGCCTCCCCATGACCTGTCTCCTGTCCCGGGGTGCAGGAGGACCCTCTTTCAGAACACAGACCGTGCACCACATAGCCTCACCTGGCCGCACTTCTTCCTGCCCAACCGGCTCCCAGCAGTAGCCCTAGGAGGCTGCTCGGAAGTGGGGGCCGAGCCGTGGCGCCTCCCCAGGAGAAGTGTGGATGGTGGCAGTAAGACTGTGTTGGGCAAAGGGCTGGCAGCCGTGGAGCAGGCCGTGCAGTTGCCCACGTCTCTGAGGCAGGTAGTGTCCCCAGAACTGTGATGGCCAGTGCAGGAGCCACTAGCACGAGACTCTCCCTTGCAGGGAGTGGGGACAGGTGGATTGCGCTGATGTGTTCTAACTACACAATGGCTCTCAACCTGTCGTACAAAGCAAAGCAGTAAGGTATCCAGTTATATGTCGGAAACATTTTTATACGAACTTGTTTGACTACAACATTAAAATGAATAGTATGCTTCTTTTAAAAAAAAATGTGACTGCTAGGAAATTTAGAGTGGTGTATGTTGCTCGCATTATCTATTAGCCAGAGTCGCTCCATTTTACAGATCTTAAAATCGAGGCTCGCACTGGCATTTCAGCCCAAGGGGTGACGCTGTCTCCTCACTCCTAGCCCAGGGTTTTCTCTTCTTACCTATGTGAGCCCTGGTCTAGGATGGACTTCACAGCCCCGTGGTGTTCCGGGTGGAGCCGCTGATCTCTGAGAACACGAAGGTAGGATGGGCCGTCCCGTCCCGTGGATGCCCGCTCCCTCAGCAGAGACCTCCCCAGACAAAACAAACAAGCCCTTAGATCTCGCAAACTGCAGCAGGGAGCGGAAATCAAGGAAGATCAAAGACCCAGCGGTTACCCCCTTCCGGGCTGCACAGTTGGCAGCCTCAAACTGGCAGGCACCCGGGGTGCCCAGGGCTGGGGGTCCCAGCGGCAGGCGGACAACTGGCGGCCTTGGGACACTTGTCGCCACCAGGGGTGGGCCAAGTTCACCACTGGCCGCAGGCACACTGGGGGCTTCTTTTCCCAACCAAGAACTAGAAGGGTGATGGTGGTGGTGGCGGGTGGCGCGGGGGTCAGCGAACACTGTGCCAGGGCAGGTTGCAGAGGCCGGGAAAGCGCGGCGCATCGGCGCGGAGCTCACGCTGGGAGCCGCAGCTCGCGGCCCCTCTCCCGACCTCAGTTTCTTCACCTGTACAGTGGAGCGGCGAGTGCCGCCCAGCGCGCTGCAGCGCGCAACAGCGGAGGGAAGTCAGGGTGCGGGTGGAGAGCGGCTGCTCCCGAGCGGGCAGGACCCAAGAGGCTGTCTGTCCCGGAACGCCCACTGGCCAGCTGCCCCC